GGGGGGGGGGGGGGGAATTATACCCTCACAGATTTACTTAAAATTTGCCAGTTAAGTGTTGACCAGGCCTTAAAATCTTCTTGTTATTCTGAAAAAAAACAAACAAACCCCCCAAACCCCAAACAAACAAACAAACAAACAAACAAAAAATCAGTATGGACCATATTATCCCACCTTATAAAAAAAAATCTGCCAAAGGAGAAAGCAAAAACAAATGCATCACATAACTAGGGATGTAGGAAAGGGGAGGGATTAACAGTTGCATTTAAAAGATGAGACAGTACTGCTTACAAAAGCATCTGTGGGGCATCAGAGCTCTACACCTGAAGACCTCAGGAGATCTTTACAGAGCCTCTTTGATTATGACCACAGTTGGTTCAGTTACCACTGAACCATTTCAGAGTGCCTGGCTGCAACCTCCCACCCAAAGATGATAAAGCCTATGGAAGGGAAGTTAATATTGAGACAAAACTTCAAACTACAGGACAGATTTCTGTTATTTGGGTCCTTTTGACCAGTCACACCCTTCAACATAACTGATTTTAGCTCCATCTCTCAACCAGTTTCCTCAACGTGACAAAAAACCATTGCCACAAAGAGGACTACCAGTGACTTGAGAAAAATGTTGTATAACCACATATCTCTGCTACCTTTTCCAGATGTTATCTTTTCTATGTTAAGCAATGCTGATGCTTAACTTCAGGCACAAATATCTCAGAAGTTCACACATTCGTCTTTATGAAATCTAAAGCTGCACTCTGCCCAGCAACTGGGGACACTGGATGCTTTGCAAGTTTCAAAGAACATCAAAGTATAACAAATAGCATAAGTTGGTGTTTCTCAAAGTGTGATCAGTCAAGCCTTTGTAAGTGGTCTGTAGATTATGCAAGGCCCCCTTCCCCTTTCATTAATCAGAAGCTTGGTGATCAGAGTGTATAGCAGCCTGCTGGAAGTTCTGAGGGTTGACTATGCTGGTTCAAAAAGTCTGGGAACCAAAAGTTTGGGTTTCCCAATCCAAAAATGTATTGGAGTAGTTCAGTGTTTACTTCAAACTTAGTTAAAAGTTTGGAAAAAATTATTAAAAGTACCCTTATAAAACTTTATCCATTTAAATGTAAGAGAATATCTTAGCTGAAGTTGACACGAACAGGCCACCCATTAAGGGTATACAATAGTTTCTGTGTATATACAATCTGAAGTAATTTATCTTACAGTTTAATAATTATATACAAAAATGTAAGTAACACAAAACATGCCCCACATTTTTAAGTGTTAATTTAGCCTCATCCTCACGTCAGATAAATAATTACTACAGATATTTTATAGATAAGGAAACTGAGCAACAAATGACCTTCACAAAGTCACTCAGCAAATCTGTGACAGAATTAGGAACAGATTCAATTATTCAAAATTATAGTAGTGTTAGAGTGATGCTGTAGCTGTAATAGCCCAGGAATCCTTAGAAGCAAGGCTTTTTGGGGGTGATCTCTTTTGCTGGACCAACTGTATAGTTCAGATAAAGTTAAATAAGCTTGCAAATCCAAAGTGTTCTTCAGATGACCTCCATGCACAGCCCTAAAGGTGACCTAAAGCAGTGCTTCTCAACTTCTATACCAGGACGCATTTGTAAGACATCCATGGCCAGTCCCGAGCCAGTGCTCCTAACTTCCAACCTGCTGCCCCGGCAATGTGTGGGGGTGGCAGAGATGTGCGTGGTGGGGTGAGGAGGGGAGGGGGCCCAAGCAGCCCCTTGCAGGCTGGAAATCTGCCAGCCTGTTAGGGAAAAGCCATGGTTTCCCATGTTTTTCTCCATTAAAGGAAAATGCATTTTTTTAACTATGTTGATCCATTTTCAAAGTTTGTTGGCGACCCTTTCATATATCTTAGCAACCCACTTTTAGGTTGTGACCCACAGGCTGAGAATCACTGACCTCTAGAATGCTTTTAATTGAAAAGCATGACTAAATTTGTCCCAACTGCACAGTTGGTCCAATAAAATAAAACATCACTCAAAAAATCCTTGCCTCATACAATTGTAACTAAGTTATAAGAACTACCTTCCTAGGTATTTGAAAGGTGCATACTTTTCTGGCCTAAAAAGCAAGAAAGCATCAATTTAAGTTCAACGGGCCACTGCAGAGAGCAGCAATAAAGACGAAGTGACTTCATCACTGTCCCTCCTCTCAGAAGTACAGTCTTAACAACATTAAGACTTTTCAACAAGTCTTCTCTCACCTAACGTTTCCTTTATGCCAGATTTGCCCTTTAAACCAGTTAGCAGCCCTTAAAAAGCCAGCCACTGACAGGCCTAATTTCACATCATGTTGTGACAGATGTCTGCCAGATTCTGAACAGGGCATATGCCTGGCCCAGAGGAAGACGCCTTGCGCTCTGCCCTGTGGAGAGAAAGAAAGAGAAGGAAGGAAGTCTGCACTTCTCACAGAGTCAGAAAAACAGCTTGGAGGGCTTAAAGAGCAATTACATTCACCCTCTATGGGGCCATCCGTAGTCCCTCGACGTGAATGAGGAATGTAACAACCACTGTCATTTTCCACACTGCCCTGCACCCGGACTGGGACATCCCGCTCTTGAAGTTATGGTTACCTCAAGTTGTGCCACTACCAACGCAAATAACTGGCCCTGCAGCAGAGCCACCATGGCCCTGCGGCTGTCACCAGGCAGAGCCACTTTGGGCATCAGCCCCATTAAGAAGCTCTTCACAGCTCCGCACTTCGGCCCCACAGGGCCGGATCCCCGCAAAGCCCCATGCGCCTGCTGACCTCTTGTGCCAGGCCCCCTCCCGCCGGTAGCTCACTACACCGGGGAAGCAAATCCCATTCAAGCCGAGGCACAACAGAAGCTGCAAGGGCTGAGGGTCTGTCCAGGCACCCGGCACCCGGGGGTGGGGGCAGCTGAGCTGCCTATTCAGCCTTGCATCACAAGCATCTGCGCGGCGGGAGGAGGATCCTGGCGGCGTCCAGCCCCTTCATCCCCCCGGAG